ATACTTCTTTCCTGACCGTTCCCCTTTATAATATTGGCCAATAATTAGTTGTCCTTGCTCACCCGGCCACATTTCAAGCCATCTATGGCCAGATGACCTGACCATATCTTGCCCTGCATTGTGATTATGTGGAGATGGCAATCTTGATAAGGACCTGGCTTTCCTCCTTCAGGGCTCATTCACACATAGTGCAGGGACTAGCATGTTCCAGCATTTTAAGAAAGCCAGTCACCGTTAGGGCACACAAAAGCAATAGTTTTCCATGCACCCTGTTCACACTGCAATGCAAACCAGAGGTGCGGTGCAGTGAGCTGTGATAAAATGTAGAAATGCTGCATTTGATCAAAGTGCACAGGTGAGCAGCACATGTCAGCACACACCAGAGCAATGCACCATGCTGCTGTGATGAGATGACATGAGTAAAGTATCCCATTGGGGAGATTTACTAAAACTGGAGGGTGCAAAATCTGGTGCAGCTGTGCATGGCAGCCAATCAGCTTCTAACTTCAGCTTGTTCAATTAAGCTTTGACAATAAAATCTGGAAGCTGATTGGTTTCTATGCACAGCTGCACCAGATATTGCACTCTCCAGTTTTAGTAAATCAGCCTCTGTGTCACTGTGCACTGCAAATAAAGTTGATAAAAAAAAATTAAAAAAAGAACCATGTGAGGCACTGAAATTTACCACCGCCCCCTCACCACAGCCATGAGGCCACAGGCGCAAGAAAAATTCCAGACAAAAGGCAGATATTTCAGGGTATTGCTCAGATATATAAAAAAAAAATTAAAACGTTTCAAGATGTTCACTATAAGTCCCCTTTCACACAGGCGGACCGATTGGACCATTTATTGTCCTCTATGGAGCGGCGGATGTAGATGAACATGTCTTCGTTTACACCCGCCTGCATCTAATCTGAGATGATCGATAAAACAGACGAATGGGGGATCCGTTCCCCATCCATCTAGAGCAGGGGTGTTCAACCTGTGGCCCTCAACCTCAAACCAGGGAAGCGCATGCCCATGCTCTGGGATGAAAGTACAACAAGCCCAGATCAAAATCAATGGGATGCCAACCTGCCTTCCCAGAGCATCAGAGTGCATGGAGTTAGCAGCGAAGGAAGAAGGCGGCTGCGGGGGGAGCAGGAACTCAGTGACACCAAGTCAGTTCCCCACCAGTGTCAGAATGCCCGCCGCAGTCAGGCTATAAGTCGCTGATCGCCGCTATTGCTAGTAAAAATAATTAAATAAATAATTCCAGTATATATACCGCCATTCGTAGACACTATAACTTTCACGTAAACCAATTAATTTACACGTATTGGGATTTTTTTTTTTTTTTTAGCAAAGACACGGAGCAGAATACATTTTGGCCTAAATTTATGCTGAAATTTGATTTTCTTAAATTTTTTTACTGGACGTGTTTAATAGCAAAAAGTCAAAAATATAGTTTTTTTTCTCAATTTTTTTTTTTTTTTTTTTTAATAGTGCAAAAAATTAAAACCTCACAGGCGATCAAATACCACTGAAGGAAAGCTCAATTTGTGTGAAAAAAAATTTATTTGGGTGCAGCGTTGCATGACCGCGCAATTGTCAGTTAAAGTAACACCTTAACCCCTTCCCGTCGACGCCTCCCGGCCCTTTAAGAGATTCAGACGCCGGGAGGCGGGGCGGTTGGGGCGTGGTTTAGCAATGATGTGACCGCCGTGATGCCGTGTCACAGCGGTCACATGATCGGGAAAGGTCCCGATCGAAAGAGCGGACCGGGACCTTTCCATGAGTACCACACATGCATGCTGGGAGCGCGCAGGGCGCGTGCTCTCAGCACATATGTATTTAGTTACATGGACGCAAATGTGCGGCCGCTCGGCGTCTAGGCCCAAACGCCGGGAGGCCGCACATTTGTGTGCGGCCAGCGCAAAGGGGTTAAATTGTACACCCCTTGAGGGTTAGGGACTGATGTGAATGTACAATAGATGTGTAAAGTGCTGTGTAAATCGATGGCGCTTTATAAGTATAAGAAATAAATAAAAAATAAAATAAGTAACGCAGCGCCGTAATGCAAAAAATGGCCTGGTCAGGAAGGGGGGGGAGGTAGATCCTCTGGAGAGCAAGTGGTTAAAATGCTTTGGAATAAGTTGTACATACTGAAGGGTTATTAATAATAATCATTCCACAATAACAGCCTATAACATCGGGGAACGGGGCCTTATGCTATCTCTGTTAAACTGGAAACACAATACCACAAGAGGGATTGCTTCTATTTACTTGTTCTGGGGTTTACAGAGAGAAGTGGTGCCCCCTCCGTTAACCCGCAGCCATAGAACCAGTTAGAAAACAGCATGGAAACTGTCTCTCTAACAAAGTGCTGTTAGTCCGGAGTCTAATTGAGCAGTGACATAACGCAGACTCTTGAAGTTCCTTTGTAGCAGCGCACGGCTCTATAGAGCTGGAAACACCAGCATTTCCTCCATCGGCCTTTTGTGCCTTGAGCACATTGTCAACAAGTGAGACGAATGCTGCACACACTCTCTTCTGGGCGCTACAGACACCATGTCGCCAGGATAACCCTGCGTGGAAAATTCTGAGGTGGAAGGGAACCCGTATTAATTAGCTTGGAAGACGCCAACCTCTTCACAAGTGTAATGCGAGCCTTTTTATTGGGGAAAAGTGAAACAAGCGTTACATTGCTTTCGGTTAGGCCAGTAAAACAGAAGGTGATCCATACATATGTATGTTATGCTGGTTTTAAACTTTTTTTTTTTTTTTTTTTTTTAATGGTTTTCTAGGCTGAAGTCCAGATTTTTACAGCACAGAATTCCCATTGTGAAGAATTAACGGTTGCTGGAGCTGCAGAATTTCAAATGTTGCAGAATGTAAAAAAAAAAAAAAAAAAACATACACAGATTAATTTGATGCGTTGCAACAAAATCCTCCACACCTAACAGTCAAAGCTCAGCAAATAGAAAACAGCACTACAAAAGAAAAGAGTCTGTAACCTGCTACAGTGATACAACTCTGCAAAACCTCACTGCAAGTCAGGGGCAGGAACTCCGAATAATTCCAAAAGGCACAAATAATGTAGCTCTGGATTTAAAAGCATTATAAACCTTCCTACTAGCAGCTTGTGTTGTGCATTGATCATGTACCTTCATGGTGGTCTTGTGTGGCCTCTGCGCACAGCCTATAGTAGAGTCAAATCTTCACATTGCTGTGTCAGCTTTTGTTTCTGTTCATACATGAGCAAGCGAGGTGGCAAAGCACTGGTTAACTGCGTCCCGACTGCCCTATAGAATAAATACTGCTACAGGGCGGCACGGGTGCGCAAAATCACCTATATATATACATGATTTTGCATTGCTCAACGGATCAAATTCAAAATCCTAACACTGACGTACAAAGCCGTCCACCATACTGCCCCGAACTACATCACTGACCTAATATCCAAGTACCGCCCAACACACACACTCCGCTCCTCACAAGACCTCCTTCTCTCTAGTTCCCTGGTCTCCTCCTCCCCCATGCCCGCCTCCAGGACTTCTCCAGGGTGTCACCCATCCTCTGGAACTCCCTGCCCCAACCCATCAGATTATCACCTACTCTCCTCTCCTTTAGGCGCACCCTGAAAACCCATCTCTTCGGGGAAGCCTACCCCACCCCCTGCTAACTTGCCGACCTCCTCCACTCTTCCTACCACTCCATCCCCCACAGCTATCTCCTCCTGTGCCACCATCTCCTCCCTCCTAGATTGTAAGCTCCAAGGATCAGGGCCCTCGATCCCCTCATGTTTTGCATTGTATTGGTATTGTTCTGTCACATGTTCTGTCCCCCTTTGTAATGTACAGCGCTGAGCGAACTATTGGCACTTTATAAATACTGTATAATAATAATTTCCAGGTAGGGGGCGTGTGCGCGCCCTACCTGAGCTGCCATTCACGGCCGCAGTTGTCAATCACTGGGTCCCAGCCGGTGATTACTCGCCAGCGCCCGGAGAATTCCGACAATCTCCCATGGGGAGAACTGTTTTGTTTACTAACAGTCCTCCTTCCTGTCAGCTAAGGCACACTGCACAGCACAGCCATCCAGAGCAGTGTAAGTACAGTGAAGCACACAGACCCCGCCTCCCAGTAAAACATTCCCAGCACACAGTTAACCCTTTGATTGCCACTTATGTTAACCCCTTCCTGCCCAGTGAAATTAGTACAGTATCAGTGCTATTTTTTAGCACTGATCACTGTATTGGTGTCACTGGGGGATGTCAGTGACACCAAGTCAGTTCCCCCCCAGTGTCCGAATGCCTGCCACAGTCCCACTATAAGTCGCTGATCGCCGCCATTACTAGTAAAAATAAAAATTAAAAAAAAATCCCAGTATCTATACTTCCAATTGTAAGCGCTATAACTTTCACATAAACAAAATTAATTAAATTAATTAATAAAAGTAATTAATTAATTTAATTAATTAATTAATTAATTAATTAATTAATTAATTAAAAATAATTTACACGTATTAGGATTTTTTTTTTTAGCAAAGACATGGAGCAGAATACATTTTGGCCAAAATTTATGACGAAATTTGATTTTAAACTTTTTTTACTGGACGTGTTTAATAGCAAAAAGTCAAAAATATTGTTACTTTTCTCAAAATTGTCCGTTTCTGTAAAATGTCTGTTTGATTCTGTGTTCTCTGATCCTCCCATTATTTGATGTCCCCAGTCCATCTACTGATAGCACATAGCTCTTGGAATCACTCTGCACATGCTCAGTTTGGTGTGTGTTGCTAAAGAGGGTGCATGTGATCGGCATAGGGTCAATCAGCACTCTCCAGACAGAGGGTCAGGGGTCATGCAACCTCATAGGACAGTCAGACGAGAATGAAAACTCCTCCTACAAGCTTTAATCACTGTTCAGCTGTCACAAGACTGCTATATACTGTTGGTCATAAAAGGTATTTAGCAGTTTATATTTACTAAAATAATTTCATTTGCATAATCTGTGTACTGTGGGATACCAGATACAGTGAATGCAGGGCCCAGGGAAAGTGGATATAGTGAATGCGGGGTCCAGGGAGAGCGGAGTGAATGCGGGGTCCGGGGAGATATAGTGAATGCGGGGTCCGGGGGGAGCGGAGTGAATGCGGGGTCCGGGGAGAGCGGATATAGTGAATGCAGGGCCCAGGGAAAATGGATATAGTGAATGCGGGGTCCAGGGAGAGCGGATATAGTGAATGCGGGGTCCGGGGAGAGCAGGATATAGTGAATGCAGGGTCCGGGGAGAGCGGATATAGCGAATGCAGGGTCCGGGGAGAGCGGATATAGTGAATGCGGGGTCCGGGGAGAGCGGATATAGTGAATGCGGGGTCCGGGGAGAGCGGATATAGTGAATGCGGGGTCCGGGGAGAGCGGATATAGCATGCGGGGTCCGGGGAGAGCGGATATAGTGAATGCGGGGTCCGGGGAGAGCGGATATAGCGAATGCAGTGTCTCGGAAGAGCAGATATAGTGAATGCGGGGTCCGAAGAGACCAGATATAGTGAATGTGGGGACCGGGGAGACCGGATATATTGAATGCAGAGTCCGGAGAGAGCAGATATAGTGAATGCAGGGTCCAGGGAGAGCAGATATAGTGAATGCAGGGTCCAGGGAGAGCAGATATAGTGAATGCGGGGTCCAGGGAGAGCAGATATAGTGAATGCAGGGTCCAGGGAGAGCAGGATATAGTGAATGCGGGGTCCGGGGAGACCAGATAAATGAATGCAGGGTCCAGGGAGACCGGGATATAGTAAATGCGGGGTCCAGTGGCTGGATCCAGGGAGAAATGTAGTAATGCAGGGTCCGGGAGAGCGGATATAGTAAATGTGGGGTCCAGTGTCTGGATCCAGGGAGAGATGTAGTAAATGCAGGGTCCGTGGAGAGCGAATATAGTTAATGCGGGTCCGGGGGAGAGCGGATATAGTGAATACATTGTCCGGGGAGAGCGGATATAGTGAATACATTGTCTGGGGAGACCAGATATAGTGAATACATTGTCTGGGGAGACCAGATATAGTGAATACAGGGTCCAGGGAGACCGGATATAGTAAAGGAGAAAAAAGTGTGAACTGGTATCAATGACTGCTGCTACACATGTTCTACTGTTCATTTAATCTGTAGTTCTCCATTAATCTATTCTCTACTCCAACCGAAAACACTCGCTTCAGAAGGAACTAGATGCAAACTGCTAGTTTATAGTGAAATGGCAGGTTGTGACACAACACCAGCACAGGAAATCACCCCATATGCTGTGTTTTGATTGATAGGACATGCTTGTTACACTAATCTACTTTGAATTAAACAAGGATAATAAGGGATATTATCCAGGAGCTGAAACACAGAAAGGGGGCACTTGGCAAGCATTCTAGGCACCTGCTATGGACCCTCCAAATGTCAGTTAGGAAAGAGTGTATTGAGCCACAATTCCAAGCTTTTCAGGCATTACCTTGTGCTGACCTAAATGTTTCGGGCCATGCTGGGATTTTCCTATTAAAGTGGTTGTAAATCTCAGACATGAAATAGGAACAAAGCATATCCCTCTATAGTGTGCACTTGTCTCAGTCCAGAGAATTAAGTTTCATTTTTCTGCTGCTTCGTTCCTCTGCTATCATCAGGAATCAATTCTGACAAGTTTTTCTGACACCAAGAACAAAATGATGACAGGGGAGGGAGCTGCATCAGATTGAAAGCCTCAGCTCTGTTCCTGTGAGCTGTGTGGGGGGTCTCTTCCCTCCAATCAGCTCTCAGAGTTCTCCTCAAAAGCCTCAAACTTTTACAAGGAATTGATTCCTTTTTATGTCTTAAAGGAGAAATAAAGTGATTCCTTAATCTCAAGATGCTTTGGTGCCGGACTCGTACTCTTTCTGAATTAATAGACGGCAAGGATCTCGTGAGTCCAGGCACAGGTATCTGGATCTCATCCTATCTATATGAGATTTTGCGGTAGTAGCACTATTACCTCTTGTTTGGATGTTCTCCTCACTGAGCTCTACAGAGTGTAACTTCATCTCTCCAACCTCTTTTTTTCTGAAAGCTCAGACAAGCTGTATAAATTATGCAGTTTGAATGGCTGTAGAAAAGAGAAAGCTATAGATAAACACACACACAGCAGATAACAGCCTCAGCTCTGTATGTTTCTCTAACAGACTGTGTAGAGGTGGGTGTGTCCATTGCCTCCACTCAGCTCTCAGATTACACTCTACTCCAGCAATGGGCAAACTACGGCCCGGCGGACCTTTTAATCCGGCCTATGGAGCTAGGCTCCCGCTAGGCTCCTCTCACAGTCCGCCCTGAAGACCGGTGTAGCATGAAAATCTGTCTCCTATGAGGATCTGTCCCCCTCGACGTATCTGCGCATGTGCCGGAGATCGCCGATCGGCTGCTAATGCCTGAAACTGGCACATGCGCAGATACGTCGAGGGGGACAGATCCTCATAGGAGACAGATTTTCATGCTACACCGGAACGGCGCGGGAGCACGGCGAGAGGAACGCGCGGAGCAAAGGTAAGTGAATTGACACAGGGGGGACTTGGGGACTTAATATGGGGAATGAATTACTATATGGGGGATGAATTACTATATGGGGGATGAATTACTATGGGGGATGAATTACTATATGGGGGATGAATTACTATGGGGGATGAATTACTATATGGGGGATGAATTACTATATGGGGGATGAATTACTATGGGGGATGAATTACTATATGGGGGATGAATTACTATATGGGGGATGAATTACTATGGAGGATGAATTACTATATGGGGGATGAATTACTATGGAGGATGAATTACTATATGGGGGATGAATTACTATATGGGGGATGAATTACTATATGGGAGATGAATTACTATATGGGGGATTAATTACTATGCTTACTATGGGGGAATATTACTATACTTACTATGGATGACACATACACATCATTCATCTACTCTTGGTCCGGCCCCCGGGTCCAATATTTGAACCCATTGCGGCCCTCAAGTCAAAAAGTTTGCCCACCCCTGCTCTACTCCCTGCTCTATGCTATGAACTTTGTGACATCAGATCCCTGCCCCCTGTCTTCTTAAGCTGAGAAATACAGTCTAAATTCTGTACTGTACAGATAAAGAGGTACAACTTATGTAGGAGGATTTGCTTCACCTGAGGCCAGTCACTTCGCTGGGTAAATGGAAGGGTTTACAGCCACATTAAGGCTTGGGAGCCCCACTGGGGAAGCAATGGCAGACTGGCCCAAATTCTGACTGAAAAAGTACTGACACTGGTTGTAATGTATTTACATTACCTAATATGAAGGTTCTTTTTGCTGACCTCTCCGAAAAATTCTTATTGGCTGGCTCTCATCCTGATTTTATCATGTTCGATACTTTCGAAAGATGCTGACCCAAAAACAAGTATGCAGATCAGTTTTTGTGATTTCATCCTTACTTTGAGTGCTGGACACTTTCTCCAGGTCAGAAACTTGTTTCGTACAGCGCTGCGCAAACTGTTGGTGCTATACAAATCCTGTATAATAATAATATATATAAATCCTGTATAATAATAATAATAATATATAAATCCTGTATAATAATAATATATAAATCCTGTATAATAATAATAATATATAAAATCCTGTATAATAATAATATATAAATCCTGTATAATAATAATAATAATAATATATAAATCCTGTATAATAATAATATATAAATCCTGTATAATAATATATATAATCCTGTATAATAATAATAATAATATATAAATCCTGTCTAATAATAATATATAAATATATAATAATAAATCCTGTATAATAATAATAAATATAAATCCTGTATAATAATAATATATAAATCCTGTATAATAATAATAATAATATATAAATCCTGTCTAATAATAATATATAAATCCTGTCTAATAATAATATATAAATCCTGTATAATAATAATATATAAAATCCTGTATAATAATAATAATATAATAAATCCTGTATAATAATAATATATAAATCCTGTATAATAATAATAATATATAAATCCTGTATAATAATAATATATGAATCCTGTATAATAATAATATATAAATCCTGTATAATAATAATATATAAATCCTGTATAATAATAATAATATATGAATCCTGAATAATAATATATAAATCCTGTATAATAATAATATATGAATCCTGTATAATAATAATAATATATAAATCCTGTATAATAATAATATATGAATCCTGTATAATAATAATATATAAATCCTGTATAATAATAATATATAAAATCCTGTATAATAATAATAATATATAAATCCTGTATAATAATATATAAATCCTGTATAATAATAATAATATATAAATCCTGTATAATAATAATAATATATGAATCCTGTATAATAATAATAATATAATAAAATCCTGTATAATAATAATATATAAATCCTGTATAATAATAATATATATATCCAGTATAATAATAATTCCGACAGAATTAAAGCCAAGGATCGGGACAGCGGCCAGGCATCTAGTATTTTCAGAAAGACATCAGCAATGTCAGCCTCCACATTTCCCCCAAGTACAGGTTTGCCTGCACATTAGTGGGAAAACGCCTTCAGACAGTGCATTGGATTTGAAGTGTGGTGGATTTAGGTGCAGATTTATTACCGAGTTATTTGTGCTCACAAGTCAGTAGCAGCGGAGGGAACTCTCAGCGGGCGGCTCAGGACACATCAAAGGCTTGTTCTCCACTACACACTGTGGCTCTGCTCTGTGTCATCTGCAGGACTTTGCTATGATGTGCTGTGCCTGTCTCTGGAGGCTGGATGTGTCTGGCCCGATGTGAAGAGAATGGACTCTCAGCAGGACACAAGGGCATATATACATCTGACGGGTGTTTATACCACAATCCAATGTGTCACAACCTGAAGTGGATGCCAGACAGTGACAACCCTCTGGGGCGGCTAATGTCAGCTCGTTAATAGATGTGACAACCAATAACCAGTGCCCAGAGACATAAGACATTTTATGAGCTGTGCAAAATGGCCTGGAACCACCTTGTAGACCAGAACACCCCCACCACCACCACCACCACCAACCAACCATGTCCCAAATTGATTAACATTAGGCAGATAATATGGAGATCCTCAGAATACACAATATACTAGTACAAAGATCTCTAAATTCAGCAAAACACAAATACCAAATTACGACTGTTCTCAAATCCACATCGATCATCATTTAATCCAGGGCTTGAAATTCCCACTTGCCTGCTCGCCAATGGCGAGTGGAAATTATGGTGGGGGCGAGTGTGTCCCCCAGGGCCGTCTTGC